AGCTGTCTGGGGGTCCTCCTAAGCATCCTTACCATTTGAAATCTTACGGGTACTGGTGGATATCCTTGTTTAATGCTTTACGTCTCCAAGAGGGCAGGGACCTGGCCTGTCTTACTCATACTGTGATGCAGCACCAAGCCCAGTGTTCATTAAGTATTTGTTGAATGAGTGCCTATCAATCTGTTTGATAAGAACCTCTGGAGGGCAGCCTTCCTCCCCTGCAAAGCTCTAACAGCAGGTCAGGCACGGATGAGGTCAGATGGGCAGAGATGGGCAGGCGGGTGGTGGATGGGGGTGCTTTCTGGCAGCAGGAGCAAGACTGGAGAGGAGGGATGAGGGAGGCCCCGGTAACCCCTCCACATGAGCAAGGATGCTGTTGCGGCTGGAGACCTGCTGCAGCCTGATCCCACGGGAGCTCAGGAACGTGAGTGATACCATGGAGCTGGCTGCTCCGTTATTCCGTCATTAGCTGAGGGCAGCTCTGAGGGGATGGGGCATCCCCTCCTGGTCCAGGACAATGATTGGGACCAACAGGGGCACCTGTGAACTGTGAGCTGCTAACACTCAGGAGCTGGGGGATGGGCGCTGGCCAGTAATGGTATCAGCCACAGCAACCCTTACAGGTGGCATAGTCCACTCCACCGCCCTGAAATTAGCCTTCTTGCACCTGCCACTGGCTCTGTTCCTACCCCCTGTGGCATTGGGATGCACCCACTTGGCCACCCTCTGATATCTGTAGGCGGGGGGTTCAGACTCTGCTTGGGTGTCTCTGAGCATCCCCTGCAGCTCAGAGGAAGGCCAGCCTTGGCATGCAGACCTGTTCAAAGGAATCCTGAGTTCCTGGTGCAGCGATAAGGGAGCAGGTGAGAGTGTCTACCTCGGGAGCAAGAACCTGTAGCCTTGCACTCTTGTTATTTGGGGCTGCCTGCGTGGATCTCAATAACACCGTTTTCTCCAGTGTAAAAGCAAGAGTCGAATATTACACTAAGTCATCAGTGTGTTACTGACAGGCCCCATGTAGGAAAGGAAATTGTAACAACGTGAACTATTTACGCTTCACATTGCAATGATGCTGCTGACATGACAGCATGTTGTTTTTGTTTGTTTGGCTGGTTTTCCTTTTTTTCTTTTTCCAAAGTGAATTACAAAACGCCCTTCAGTGAGGAGACTGCGCACAGAGAAATTGTGCCCCACCCTGGGGGCTGTTATCTGGGCCGAGCAGGGTTACAGGATTGGAGAACAAAGGCCAGACACGTGGTGCCTCCTCTGTCCAGCTCCTGGGCCTGGTTTGGGGTGCCGGCACCTGCCCCCCACCTCAACATAGCTGCGTCATGGGGCCCAAGAGCTGCGCTCTCCCCAAAGCTCCTCTACACCAGGCGACTGTGATTTTTCCAGAAGCATTCAAAATAGCCACATAATTATTATTATTATTTTTGAAGTATCACCACCTGTCAGGAAACCTGGTTAAGAGGGCCTAGTCTGGAACGCTGCCTACACTTGGGTTTGGAGGCGTCTCCCTGGCCCCATGGGCTCCTGTCACCCTGAACCCACCTCTCACCTCCTCCAGAATGGGAGCTTCCAGAGGACAGAGGCCCCATCGGTGGTGAGGAACTGGTGGGGGAACGGTTTGCCATGGTCACCTGCCAGGGAGGGCTCCCTGCATGGCCAGCACTCCATGCCAGAGACCCTCTGAATCATCACAAGAAGCCTGTGTGTTCGCACCATCATTACTGTAGACAGCAAGACTGAGGCCAGCGAGGCTCTGCCACCCATAAAGACCCCGGGGTTCAGGCCATGGCAGGAGGGACCTTGCCCTCCGTCTGATTGACACCAGGGGCTTTGTCCTGGCCAAGCCACCACCAAAGGCCACTCCAGAAGGCCTGGCCCTGGCTTGCCAAGAGCAAGAAGAGACAGGCTTGTTTCCAACTTTTCAGAAGTTTTATTATAAAGAAGTTTGAGAGAAGCACTGGGCACCGAGACAGACAATTTGCAGGGTCAGAAAACAGCTGCAAACATTAAGAACCCAAACCCAAACCAAACCCCCAAACCACGCACACTTTATGATAAACGGCATTTTTGTTTTCAATTGTTCTTCATAAATAGACAAGTCGTTGTTGGTCATTTTAAATAGATGGAGGATGTACGATTCAAAAAAAAAAAAAAAGAAAGCGCCATGTCTCTGAGTGTGGCTGTAAACTGTCCAGTTCTTGCTGTACAGATGGTGAAATGGTTTGGCAGCCTCTTTTGTGCATGTCTCCCTTAAGATAAAACTTTAAAAAAAAATGTGCTAAGGGTCATATAAAATGCTTTTTACCTTAAAGGAAACTACCTTCCCCCCCACAAAATAATCTTACAGATGTTTTCAGCACAGTTCTAAAACACTTAGTCAACTAGTACTTACACGGAGCCAACAGTTTATAAGTTTCATAATCTCTTGTTCACACCATAAAACCGTATTTGCACGTCTGTGGCTGAGCTGGCCCCCGCCCCATGTACCTGGGGGTGGGTTTCTGTTAGAGAGAGAGCCGTCCAGGGGCAGCTCACACGAGCCTGGACTGGGGCCAGACGTCCAGACATAGGGTACAGTGGCAGGGCGAGGAGCGGGGTCCACAGTAACCCTGGAGCAAGCAGGTCAGGGGGCGGAAGGTTCCGGCAGGTTCTTTGGGCTGGCGGTGGGCGGCGGGCTGCCTCTGCAGAGTCTGGTGGGAGGTCGAGGAAGAGACTCAACCCTGGCGTGTCAGCATGTCACTGCTCTCTCTCCTCCATCACCCCGCTTCCTGCCAAGGCCTCCTTCTGCTGTCAGCTCTTCAGGCTCTGAGCAGCGCCCTTCCAGCAAGCCTCGGGGAGGAGAGGGAGGCGCGCTTAGGTGAGGTAGAGCGACTTATCCCTCGGGAGCAGGCTGGGGAGAGAGGAGGGACCATCAGGGCTGATGTGATCCCTCCACCCCCACCTAATGCGACGCCCAGCCCGCAGGGGCCTGGACACAGAGTCCCGGGCACAGCAGGACACTAGGCCTTCACCCATCCCCGGATTCGGCTGCACCGCTGAGGATGAGTGAGGGGCACGTGCTGGTCCCTCCCTGACTGTCTACCAAACAGCAATCCTGGAATCCTGGCGAGGGACCACCTGTTCCTCAATGCTGAGGGTACAAAATGCTTGAACCTCAAGGTGAGGCCAATACTGTGGTGTGATTGGTATCCAGGGCTCCAGTGGGATCAGGCTGAAGCCAGTCTCCAGCTGAGGCCACGCCCTCTGAGGCTCCCTCCCTGCTCATCCTCCCTCCCCCACCTTCTCCTGCAAGTTCTCCCTGAACATGTACACGTCATCAAGGGCACCCAAATCCCTGCCCCAGTCTCTGCTCTTAGGGGACCTGAGCAAAGACAGGCGGCCCAGCTGTCAATGTCATGTGCAAGCACGTGTGAACATAACCAGTCGGAAAGCGAAGCCACAACACAGAGCCGGGCCTGTTTCCCTGGTTCAGGGCCTGGCTCCGGACCAGCTGAGTCCCTCTGGGGCCCTGCTTTGCTCTGTGATCTCTCCTGAAGACAGCAGGCACTCAGTGCCCACAAGGCCCCCGGCGCAGGGCTGACAGTGACCTGCAGTGTCCCCCTCACCTCTTCCCACCCCCCATCATCCCGTCCCCACCCTTCATGGGTTGGCAGGACAAGGGCAGAGCTAACATTGGGGGTGGGGGGAGGGCCAACCTGCAGGTGCTGATGCCACACTCCCCGCTGGGGTAACTGCTGTCCCAGTCTCCGCTGCTCGTGGGGTTGGATGGGCCAGGGGAGCGGGATCCGGAACCACTGGGGAACTCAGAGATGTGAGGGAAGTCCTGCCGTGGGGGGGAGGAGGAGGCGGGTGAGCCAAGAGGGGAATGGGGTACACGTCTCAGGCAGCTAGTGGGGACGGGAGCTGTGTGCGCCTGAGGGTGAGCCCAGAGACACCTCCCCAGCTTATAAAAATCTCTGCTCTGCCTCTCCGCCTGGAACGCTTCTTTCTTTTCCCCACTCAGAGCACCTTCTGAAAAATTCAACCCCGTCTTAGCTGCATCGGGGGTGTGTGTGTGTGTGTGTGTGTGTGTGTGTGTATGTGCATGTGAAGGACCTTCCTTTCCTGGACCTCAGTGTCCCATTCTGTGAAATAGAGTTATTGGGCTGAGTGACCTCCCAGGGCCAAGTAAGCCTTGTAATTACCAGTGTCTGTGGAACAATTAGTGTCTGTGGAACAATTAGTAGGGTTAAGCTTCAAAGGCTTTGGGGAGGGTCAGGAGCTAGGGCTGACCTAGCGGAAGTCACGGTGGCCTTAGCCCCTCCAGCCAAATAACAGAAATGGACAGAGGTTGAGGGGAGGAGAGCATGGGATACCTTAAGAATCTGAAGAATCTGTCTGGCAACTTACCAGCTGTTCACTGCAGCCAGTACATCTCAGACAAGGTATACTAGCCCCATTTCACAGATGTGGTAACTGAGGCTCAGGTAGCTAAGGGGCCAAGGCTGAGGTTAAATCCCAAGCTGCCTCCCCTTTCCACAAGGGGTCCCCCAGGGGCACGTTCTTGCTGGGCCCTGCTTACCTGTGGCCCTGGCGGTGAGGGGCTCATGGCCAGCTGCACCTGGAGCGCCATGGGCGTGGGCAGGACAGGAGGCTGGGGGGCTGGGGACATGCTGACAGGTGGACTGAGGAGGGTGCCCTGGGCGTGGGGGGGCAGTGGCAGCTGCTGGTGCAGGGTAGGGCTGAGAGGGAAGGAGGGGGGCGGCGGTGGGGACGCGCTGAGGCCCGGCAGCAGCGACTTGGAGCCCAGTGTCCGGGCGAGGCTGGCGGGAGAGGCCCCGCTGCGGAAGGCCTGCAGGTCGGATGGCGTCAGGAAGGAGGCCAGGCCAGGCATGGCGTACATGGGCTGCTTGGGTGGGAGCATTTTGGCTGGTGGGTTCGCCTGAGTGCCCTTGGTCTCACCCTGGTCGGTGGAGCTCTGGAAGGAGACAGACACTGATCACTCTGGAGAAGGTGGATAAGCCAGAACTTGGGCCACGAGGCCATGTGGTTCTGCAACCTACTGGCACGGCTTCTGGCTGGCTCTTGAGCCCCTTGGGGAGAGCCCTGGACTAACCTGAGATAATTCAGGGTCCCACCACACTGAGCTCTGACCATCCAACTACCCCTCGCTTTAACCCCTGGGGGCTCCCCTGTCCACGGGGGAACCCACACTCTTAGCATCATCCAGCTGGGCTAGCCTCTATTTATGCTTCTCTCCGGCCTCTGTGCCTTTGCATATGTTGTTCCCTCGACCCAGGACATGCTCTTTGCTTGGCCCTTTATGGCCTAACCCAGAAGCCATGTTCTCTGCAGCAGCTTCCAGACCTGCCCCACCCTGCCCCCGACTTGGACCACACATCCACCGCCACGCTGAGCCTCCCCCAATGCCAGTGTGGACAGAGGCGGCAGAGAGTGGTCAGGAGTATGGGCCACATTTGAAGACTGGCAAAGACTGGGTTTGAATCATGGTACTGCCACTTAACAAGCTGGATAATTCCAGGCAAGTTGTTTAACTCCTCTGAGTATCGGGTTTTTGTTGAGAATTACATGAAATGAGATGGATATAAAGTACCCAGCGTGACCCCGGCACACAGTAGGTGCACCGGAGAAGTGAGCACATGGGTCTTATCCATCCCTTCCAAGACCTAAGGTGCTGACCGTTCCCCTGGGCCTTGGTTCTTGCTCTGTCACTCAAGTGGCCCCACTCTTAGCAGAGCTGGGCCTCGGGACTGCAGGGGTTACCTTGGAGACGAGGCTAGCCCTGTAGGCTGCCAGAGCCTTCAGGTACTCCTTCTTTGCCGCTTCTGTCTTCCTCTTGTAGGCCTGAAAGATCCAAGAGGTGGGCAACATCGGGGAGAGGTTAGATGGTCAGCCTGAGGTCACACAGCTGGCAACTAGCCTTTGCCTGTGAGCTAGGCCTGCTCCTGTTCCCCCGAAGGCCCTTGAGACGAGGCCACAGGAACACGGTCAGTGGACAGGAGAGCTCTGGCCTGGCCCCCAGACTATCAGCGTTGGAGGCACAGGATGGACGGAGATGCTTGTTCTCATGTTCTAGATGAGGAAGCGGAGGTCCACTTTCCTCTCCACTTAGCCAAGTTGCTAGTGAATGCACAGCTGGAAAGGAGCTGAACTGGAAGAAACCTACCTTCCCAGCTTAGAGATGGGCAAACCGAGCCCAGTGAAGACCTCTGCAGGAGCCTCTAGTTCCAGAGGCTGGGCCTGGCTTTAGACCTTCCAGGTCCGACCTCAAAGCCTTGGGGGGTGGCCCAGAAAGGGCTGGGGCTCACCTGCTTCTGCTCCTCTCCCAAGCTGTCCCACATGGAGGCCACGATTTTGGACACATCCCCAAAGGTGGCACTGGGGTTCTGTCCCTTGATGGCGGCCTGAGTGTCTCTGAAGAAGAGCGCGTAGGCCGACACGGGTTTCTGCGGCTCATTGGGGTCCTTCTTCTTCTTCTTCTTTGGGTTCTTGGCCTTTTTGCCTGGGTCAGCTGAGGGTCTCTTCTCTCCTGACATCTGCCCGGGCGAGAGGAGTCAGACAACCAGAGAAGCCCAGGGCCTCCTGCCAGAGGGCACCTGTCCCAGCCTCAGGCAGAGCTGGACTTCCCTCAGCTGTCCCCTGCTTGCCCAGCCCTGCTCACACACGGGCAGCCCCTGGGGGCTGGCCACCCCGGACCTGAACACACACACACACACACGCACACATGCCCAGGTTACGAGCCCTGCCTGGGTCTTTCATTTAACTCCTTAATGAGAATCAGCATGATGGCAAAGTTGATTCAAAGAAATACAAGAGAAAGAAATTGACTAATGCCCAACAGAGCAATAAACCTATCACCTTTGGGGCTTTTCATCTTTTTTCCTGGACAGAAGTCATTTGCATCTCCACAGGGAAAAATTAATTTGCCTTGTAATCAGACAAAAATTGTTTATATCTTTATCACTTTTTCCCCAAGTTAACATCTCCCTTTATGGAGTGTAAAACCCCCTAATCAATAATGAAGGAGGAATCAAAACAAAGGTACACTCTCCCAGAGAATCAGATAATTCTGGAATGAGCCTGTTAGATGATGCTGCGATACGCCATTGAACGAACGTGCAGTTATTGGTTTTTGGACTAATTCCAAGTTTTGGAGAGATGTGTGTGTGTGTATATATATATTTATATATATATATATATATATATTTTTTTTTTCTTAACAGCTCTCCCCTCTATGAGCACAAATAATCCTTGATTACATAAGGCCGGTCTCTTCCACCACATTTCAGCTGTGCTACTTGGAGCACATGGCTTCATCCCCCTTCCCTCTTTGAAGTTGTTGGATGGGGTGAGGTTAATGTAACTGTCATCAGGTGTGGCCTCACCCTGCCCTCGGAAGCAGTTACACTCCAGGACCACAATACTGTGAGCATCTGACTTAGGGCATCTTCCCGGTGTGGGGAGAGGGTGGGAATGCTCACCACAATTTAGGACTCTCAGGCCACCTAGGGACCAAGGATTTTGGTCAAAGGCCCTGGATCCTGCGGTGAAGACCATGGCTCTATGCATCAAGAAAAGGAAGGTGACACCATGGATTGATAAGGAAACCACAGGCCAGCAGACAGGACACAGGCCTGCACGTCTGAGGGACAGTGTGGGGCAGTCTCGGTTCTGGCCCTGAGTGTCTCTCTGCGGCCGCCCACCTCTCCAAGCCTCAGCTCCACAAGCCCCAGGGCGAGACTCTAACAGGACAGGGAGGTGGGTAACCAGAGAGCTGGGCAGACGTGGCCTTGCAGGTGGTTGGGAGGGCATATGCTGGAGCCCGACTGCAACCACCTCGGTTGAATGCCTGGTTCTGTGACATCTGATTAATTACTTAACCTCTCTGTGCCTCAGTTTCCTCATCGGCCAGTCAGAGAAAATAATGGCACCTACCACACAGGGGTGTGATGAGGGTTACTTGGATTCACATCCTTCATGCCCTTAGAAAAGTGTCTGGCCCCTGGAAGTGTTTTAGAACTGGTTGTTAAATTAAAAAAATAAAATAAATAAAAACCACCCCAGCCTGGACTACACTAGAGACCAAGTTATCCTGAGGACGGAGCTAGACCAGGGTCCAGAGGCGCCCACCCCAGCCACTCTGTTAGGTGGCACCGGCCCCTTGGTTATCACCCCAGGCCTCTGCAAGGACACTGCGTGGAAAGGGGTGAGAGGCCCTGAGGAAGAAGAAAGGGAGGCAGGAGTTGTGGGAGCAAGTCTTGATTCTGCCACCAGCTCACTGGGAGATTCTGGGCAAGCACATCCACCCCTGGCCATTCTTGGCCTCTGTTTCCTGCCCCAGTAAAACAAGGTCCTCTCCCGCAGGGAGGGAGATTTCGAGTCAGTGTAGAGAAAAGACTGGAGCCAGGACAGGTGGTGAACTCTCATCCCTGACATGTTCTTGAAAGGGCAGGACCATCCCTGGTCCCAGGGATGTGGAGGGGGAAGGCATGGCCCCACTTGGAGGAGCGAATCATTTTTACTGCTCCAGCCACCAGTCAGTGCTGCCCAGAGGTGCCCACTGCTGGACCACACATCTTTGTGGTTCTCCTAAGTGGCCAAAATACGTGGCCCTGAGGATCTTGCCAATGCCATCAATGCCACTGAAATGATCCACTGACCATTCAGAAAGAAGATTTCACCATGTTTCCCCAGAATTTTCCTCCCCCTTGTTTTCCAGCAAAGGGTACAGTTACCCGCCTCTAGACTTTTCTAGAGGTAGCTGATGCTCACATCCATGCAGGGCCTGTCCCCTTGTTGACAGAAGGGCATCTTAAGGCATCTTAAGGCTTTGCATCTGCACTCCTACATACCTTGAAATGTGCTTCTGACTCCTCCTCCTGAGTTGAACTGGAGGGAGAGGGGGTCGCCGACTTGCTCCCTGGGGGAGACGGGGAGCTGTGGGCGATGCCGCTCCGGATGCCCATCTGAGAAATGAGCTGGGACTGGCTGAGGGCACTCATGTGGCTGGCCAGCATCGCTGGGCGGCCCAGCAGGGGCCCTGGCCGGCCCGAGTCATAGGCAGCAACCTCCGAGTGGACCATCTCCTGGATCTAAGAGAGGAGGAGAGGGCATGTTGAGTTAGAAAGGACCACTACGTCTGCATTAGGGGACTCGGGGCAGGGGGCGCACTCTGAGCTGTGGCTCCCCCACGGCTCCCTGAGAGGCGAGCGTCCATTCTCTTCTGACCTCTGCATGACTCAGTGCACCTGTAGTGGGGCCCACGGCTCCTGAACAGTTTGCCATTCTGTTGATACTCACCTTGGACAGATGGTCAGCATCTCAGCCCTTGCTCGAGAGCCCAGTCCAGCTGTGAATAGATCATTTTATGATACTGGGTCTTCCCCCTGGAACACGGTATATCTTTACATTTATTCACTATGCAGCGTGAGAGCAAAGAGCACAGACACTGGAAGCTGACTACATTTTGAATCCTGGTTCTGCTGCTTGTACACTGTGACTTTGGCTAAGTTACTTAACCTCTCTGTGCCTTAGTTCCTTCACTGAAAAATTCGGGTAATGATTAAGCCCACCTTCTACGGTTGTTAAGGATTAAATGTGCTTGGCACACAGTAAATCCTACACTGTATAAGGGTTTGTTAAATACATAGAATAAATAAATCCCTTAATAAAAATTTGTACTTTTTTCTGCAGTAGGTCAGTAATTTTTTCATTAACTGTTCCCCATGATATTTTCTAACTGGTTATTTTTGGAATATAAAGAAAGCTACTTATTTTTATATACAGGCATTTCTCATACTAAACACATTTAGAATAGTGTGTACTTTTCACCTAAAAATTATATATATACCCACACACACTCTGTTCAGTGAGGCATACCAATTTGCATACTCTTATAGTTATGTTTATTTCCTCTGAATTTGTGGTTAAATTCTAATTTCTAATGCCCAGTATCTGTGTTTTCCTCTCATTTTTTCTTCATTAGGCAAGCTCACAGGTTTTCAATTTTTTTTTATTTTGTGGGATTTTTTTTCCTCTTCAAAAGAATCAAATCTCAAATTTATCATGTCTACTCCATCTCTGTTTTCTAATTCTTCAATACCCAATTTTATCCTTATTAATCTCTTCTTCTGATTTTTGAAGATTCATGATTCCTGCTTGCCCCTCAATTCTGAGTCTCATTTTCAATTCACTGTTCTCATTCTCAAGGTTTAGAAATAAATTTTCCCCTGACCATGAGCTTAACATTTTGCAGAATTCATCATGTGAGATTTTCATTATTGTTCTTTTTATGTATTTATTTTTAAATTTTAGTTTTCATTTCCTCTCTCATTGAATAGATACTTAAGAAGAGTTTTGAAATTTCTAAGAGGTTAACATTTTTTATTGTTTTTTCCCTTTTGCTACAAATTTCTAGTAACAATAGTGATCAAAGAAAACGGTCCATACTGTTGAACTTCTGAGAATTTATTCAGGTTCCTTTAGGACATAAATATGTTTAAATTCTGCATACACTTCACAGTATTTAAGGGCAAAGAATGAGCTGTGCTTACAGGTTAATCTGACTGTATAACTTAATTTATAACCGTCTTATCAGTGGTGATTATACTATTTCGATTTCTTTGGTTTATCTAAGTCGCCTACAACTTTTCTGCTTCCATCCAACTCGCCCTTTAATGCTTAAAGTGTTTATTTTGGGAGTCTGATGCTGGTTTTTATGAAAAAGAAAGCTGGCAATTATACCTTCATAATGGATTGAACTTCCGTGTTATTATAAAGTGTTTCATTTTTTAATCTCATGTTTGCCTTGAATTCAGGGGAGCCTGATATGAACATTCCTGTCCTTGTCTATATATATGTACTTGTTTGAGTTTGTCTGGTGGTTCTTCATTTCTGAGGAACTTTCTTTTTTACGTGTCTCTCGGTTTTCAATTTTTTAGGGTTATCTTTGTCAGATGTTGGGTTTTGTGTTATGGTCAGCTTTAGAAAAAGAACCGAGCTGTTTCTCTTTTTCTTTATGTCCTGGAAGAGTATAAATAACAAAGAAATAATATTTTCCTTAGAGAACTGAAAGAGTTTAGATATAAAACCATCTGAGGCCCAGAGTTTTTTGAAAGACTGATTTTCACAGTATTTTCCATGGCTAATTGGTTTAATTTAGTTTCCATGTTCTCTTGAGTTACTCTGGTTATATCTATATATGTACATATGTATTTAGAAAATCGTATTCTTGATCCACATTTTTAACACTACTAGCACATAACTGGGATACTATTATCATATTTTAAACCCACTCTATGGTTTGAAATGGCCATTCTCAATTGTATATTGTGAAGGCGTGTTGCTTTTTCATGTTTTCCTTCTCAAAAGTTTCTGTATTTTTAACTGTCCGAAGAACCAGTTCTTATATTTAAAAAAATTAATTTGACAGCTTTTCTGATCATTCATTAAATTTAGCTTTCCTCCATTACTACTGACTTCAGGTATCATATGTTGCTTTTTATATAGCTTTTCAAATTAACCAATTTACTTATTTTCACTTTTTCTCTTTTAATAATAGAAGTCCTTACGGCAAGGGTTCAAACATTTTGAACACTTCTGCTGTGTAGGAGATATTTCTGGCTTTTAACCAGGAGGAGAGGATGTTGCTACTGACATCTAGCAGGTACAGGGGCCAGGGAAGCTGCCAAACACCCTGTGACGCACAGGATGCCCCCGACAAAGAATTAAGTGTCCCGGAATGTCAAGACAGCTAATGCTTAGAAGTACTGCTCTGTCACAGTGATTTTTCCTCCTGAGGAGGACTGTAGCTGTATCATAGAAATACTTTTAAAATACACTACAACTGAAGATTTAATTTTCCTTTTTACCCTAAAGTTATTTGGAAAAGAATCTTTATTTAACGTATCCTTTTGGGATTGTGGTCAGAGAACATGACTCCTAGAATTCTATCTTTTTGGAATTGAAGTTTTCATTATGGCTTAAGATATTAACTTCTGTAAAACTTCCGTGTACTGCTGAAACAATGTTTACTCTGGAATGCACACATTTCTCTATTTGTCTATTCAATAGACTGTTTTGACTACTTTAGCTGTGGAATCTCGAGAAAAATGAGTTGAAGTCTCCCACTACTAGTGTGACTCTGTCAGCTTCTCTATAGAATTTAAACAGATTTTCTTTTTATTTATTGATGTGAAGTTATTCTTTCGCATAAATGTCCCAGAATACTCTATTTTCATTATGGTCCCTCCTTGTTAATTAAAAAAAAAGTATCTTTGTCTTAACTAATGTTTCTATCTTAAATCCTACTCTATCTATGGCAATTATCACTCTATTCCTCCACTGTTTTATTTTTGTTTGCATCACTCTAAGTGCGAAATTTGTAAATGGCATATAAGTAGATTTTGTTTCCGAGTTTTTAATATAATAGATTGTGAAATACATATTTGATTATTATATTAATCATAAAGTAACATGAGAAACAGACTTAGAGTGAATTCTTTTAAAGAGTAGAAGGTTTTAAAAACAATCTGATTTAAAAATGGGCAAAGGACTTGAATAGACACCTTGAAGACATACAAATGGTCAACAGGTACATGAAAAGGTGCTATTGTTGACGACAACATCCCTAGTCATCAGGGAAATGCAAACCAAAGCCACAATGAGATATCACCTCGCACCTGTTAGAATGGATGTTATCAAAAAGACAAGAGATAAACTAGTGTTGGCAAGGGTGTGACAAAGGGGGACCTTTGTACACTGTCAGTGGGAATGTAAAATTGGTGCAGCTACTGTGGAAAACAGTATGGAGGTTCCTCAAAAACTTAAAACTAGAACTACCATATGATCCAACAATCTCACTTCTGGTTATCTATCCCAAAGAAATGAAATCACTAGCTCCAGGAGATAGCTGCACCCCCGTGCATGGTCACTGCAGCAGCATTCACAACAGCCAAGTCATGGAAACAACCTAAGCATCCATGAACAGATGAGCTGGTAAAGAAAATGTGGTACGATGTTGCTCAGCCATAAAAAAGAAGGAAACGCTGCCTTTTCCAACAATATGGATGGACCTTGAGAGCATTATGCTAAATGAGATAAATCAGACAGAGAAAGACAAACACTTTATGTTTTCCTATGTGGGATCTAAAAAAGCTGAACTCAAAGAAATAAAGAGTAGAATGGTGGACACCAGGGCCAAGGGGGTGAAGGTGGTCAAAAGATGTAAACTTCCAACAAATACAATGTATAAATTCTGGGAATCTAATGTACCACCTGGTGACTCTGATTAAGAATACTATATTATATACTTAGAAGTTATTAAGAGAGTAGATCTTATATGTTATCACCACACATACACAAATACACAAAGGTAACTATGTGAGGGATGAGGTATTAATGAACCTTATTGTGGTAATCATGTCACAATACATAC